TTTTAGATTTCCATTCACTCACTGTTGCAATGTATTCCAATTTTGTAAATTAACTAGCATAATAAAAATTAAAGAAAAAACATTAAAAAAAAAAAGAAAGAAAAAAATATTACCAGCTCTAAAAAAAAAACAACTAACTATTGGTCTCTACTCATTTGGAATAAAAATAACGAAGGAAATCCAAAACCCAGCAAAGAAACAGAACAGTCTACATGAACCAAGGCCTCATCTACCCTGAGACCAGAAGAACTAGGTGGTGCCTGACCATTCTGATCTGGGCCACAACAGACGAATCCTGATCAAATGGGAAAAAATTAAGAACAGAACTCCATTTTCTTTAAAAAGCCCAGATTTACTAGAGTCATTGAGACTAGAACACTCCCCAAGACGAACATTATCCCAAGATCACCTTTTAGCTTAAATAATAGACTGGCCCATAAAATAAAGAAGATAACCTATGAGTATTGTACTCCTTTAAAAAAGAATAATCTGTATGAGACCAAATGAGCGACAATTATGCTAAAGTAAACATAAGAAAGTAAGGGGCAAGGAAACTAAATTACTAGAAAAAGAACAACTAAAACAATTAATGAGTATGCTGATAAGTTGGAAAATACAACCAATGTTACAGAATAACTTGTGAGAAATTGTCAAATGGCAAACATTATCTGTGCAACTCTTACCAAAAACACAATAAATATTTCTTAAAAAAAATAATAAGAGCTCCAGGAGCACAGACCTTAGTGTGTTACAATGTGAAACAAAAGTAAGGAAGCTAGCCCTCTGTTGGAGAGGTCTCCCCAACTCAGTTCTTCCAAAATAATAACAACTAAGTGATTGACAAAAAATAAAAAATGTACAGCAACATCTTCCAGACTTTACAGCAGTTTCTCAAAAAGCATGCCTGTTTAGGAAAATGCATTTAAAAGAAAAAACAAGAAATACCCCAGATTACAAACATATGTTCCTCAAGCTGCTTCACACACACTATCAGACTCCTACTCTGCTCAAGTGAAGCAGCCTCTCACTCTGAATCCACCTCTTGCTCCCTAGCTGTGCACAATGCCTAGGTGAGCCAGGATACCTTCAGAGCCTGAGGGGTCTGTACTAAGGTCCTGCCCTCCTTCCTTCACCTTACCACATGGCTTCCTCTTGACAGGGCACTCACAGACCTCTCCAGAGGCTAGGCACATGACCCCAGGGACAGCTGCCATCTTGTCTGTACCTTCTCTAGACTAGGTAGAAGCTCATTCCTGAACGCATCATCTGCAGAGCTGATCTGGATGAGAACCTCTGCTGAGCAAGGCTGCAGCAGGCTCCTTTCTATGCCTCAGGCAGCTGCTCTGGAACACGGCTCCCTGAATATTCACATCAGCCCAGCCACTTACAAAGCCTCCTGTGGATTCCCCTGAGTGGATATGTTTAGTGATACGGTCATTTGTCAGCCTATTAAGAGCTTACAAGTGGCCACACATAGACAGCCTCCGCCAGGAGCAGACTTCTAAGAGCACCAAGGTGACAGATGATGGGAGTACTTTTCCCATTCATATGTGCTAGCTCAATTTCTTCCTCTCACCACATCTCTCAGTCAAACAGAAGCCCTTTGAAAAGCGGGCTGAGAATTCTACCTTGTCCCAAGCAACAATATCCATGTATTATAGCTTTTATAAAATAACACAGAATCGGTAGAAAAAGAATAAAATCATACATTTCTGCTATCTGAATAGTAAGCTACATCTTTAGATGCAACTAAAACACCAAACAGGGAGCTCTGTAGGTCTAACAAATAAAAAGTTGCACTGTCAACCCAGAGTCAGGTAGTTTGAATCCACCAACTACTTTGAAGGAAAAAGCCAAGCAATCTTCTCTCACGTGATTTAGAGCCTCTGAAAACCTGCTGGAGGATCAGCTATGAGTTAGTTCTGAACCAAGTTAAACAAAACAAAACCAATTTTCAAACCTCCACAATATTAAATCTCCAAAGTATCACTCTATGGAGAGAAGGTCACTTACCCCATCAGCCATCAGAAAGTGGACCCCCTTGCGATCTGTGTTATCCAGGACAAAATTCCGAAAGGCAGCGATGTTCTCTGGGCGGGTGATGTCTCCATCTCCGTCAATCCCACCTTCACCTGGAGTGACACCAGATCCAGGGTGAATGTATCTGCCCTAGGCACCTGAGAAGCTGGGACACTAGCTCTCTGGCGCAGTGTACATGGGTACTAGGTGGGCACATGGGCCTCAGCAGAAATGAACTCTACTCAGCACAAAGAAGTGCAGGGCCCATTCCCACCAGAAGCAAAGGACCAAAGGCCAATAATGTGCTGTAAGCCAGAGTCCAAAAGGGGCTCAGCAACAAAGATTCATCAACAGAGAGAAAGGGCCCACCCCTTCAAGACCACTGCGGGTTTTTAAGCATCCACATCTAGTAACAAACAGCCATTTTAAAAATATATTTATAAAAAAAAACCAACCCGTATCTATATATTTATCTCCTTCTCCTAAAGAGGACAATTTATGAAGAACTAAGGATTTGCAGATGGAATGAGCAGTGTGCCAGGGGGCTATTGAGCTGTCTGTTACATATGGAGCCAGAGATGGACGTAGGGTTTATACTTGTTAATAACCCTGCCAGTCTTTCACCAGGGATCAGGCAGTTTCATTATCTCCTGTCACCACAAGAGAAGAGTGTTCCTGAAAGAAGGAATTAATATGGCTTTGATAAGAGTTTGCCAAGTGGAATGTTTAACCTGTACTCCACAGGGCTAGGGTAAAAAGGGTCAGTCCAAAGAGAATCAAGGCTCCAAGACAGAGATATAGCATGTAGATATCACCTGCTTCTGCCCTTGAAGTCTCTTCAGGCAGAAGGCACAATCTATTCTGGGACCATTCCCAGCACACCTACCATAGTATGGTTCGAAGAGCTCACTGGAGGCTGAGTAGAAGTCTTCCAGCTTGAAATCATTAGGGCCCTTCAAAGTCATGCCAAAGCCCTTGGCATGCCACTTCTTCCTCCACAGCACATACTCTGAGAAGCCCCCTGGGCCTGCACACACATCAGCAAAGTACAGGAGCTCTGCACCCCGGTCCTTCACCAGTGGCTTCTAAAAAGGCAGGTGGAGGTCAGGGGAGATCAGAAAAAGTTCAATGGCTAACAGGAAGAAGAAATAGGAGTAAGTACCACACTGAGCTCTCTGAGTCTTAACACCCCAGAAACACATCCTCTGTAAGCGTATCCTTGTGCATCGTTTATTTTTCACAGTCTTTTAACATATCCTTCCTTTATAAGAGTCCTTGAGTAGAACAGGTGCTATATTCCTATATTACAAAGAGGAAAAAGGAATACAGAGACAAAGTGGTCCGCAATAAAGTTAAACTAGACTCCATTCTGCCCGACCTTTTGTCTCCGGTCTGCCTGTCCAATCCAAGTCTTGAGGGTGGAAGGTGGGAAGGGCCTCTAATATCACCTGCTCCTGACCTCAAGGACCTGCCTTTCCAGACCATAATCTCTGTCTTTCCTTCTCTGTTCTTTATCTCTGTAAACTTTTTATTTTACAATCATTTTGTATTTACAGAGAGTTGTAAAGATAACAGAGAGTTCCTTTATCTCCTTCACCTGGTTTTCCCTGAAGCTAATGTCTTCCATTACCATGGTACAGTTGTCAAAACTGAGAAACTAACAAGGCTACATTAACTAATGCCATGCTTTATTCTGATTTCACTGGTTTCATAACTAGAGCCCTTAAAAATAACAAAACCCAAACTGCCTTTAGTAACAAATGTATATTCATTCATAATCACTCTGTGAATATTTAAAAAGCAAACAAATACTATATCCCCATTTAAATACAAGAAACAAGTTAAAAAAATTAGTGTCAATAAAGACATATATAAACCTCTGCAGGGTCCCAGAATTCCTAGCACATCTATCAGAATAGACATTTTTAATACTGAGTGACAGACTCAACCATAGAGTTCCTACCTTTCTATAGACTGTATGGTAGGTGTGCTGTGAGAATTAAGGTCTATTTTAGACTCTTCAGCCCATGTAAATTTTTTTAAATTGTAGTAGCAGTGAAAGTTTACAAAGCAATCAGTTTTCCAATCAACCATTCATACAAACTGATGTCCTTTTCCTGTTCCAAGACCCAATCCAAGATGCCACATTTATTTAGCCTCCCTTCATTTTTGGCACTCCCTTCCTCCTCCTTCTGCCTCTGCCCCTGTTCAAGGATCAGCCTAGAATACCTGGGCCAGTGCATAGTTGGGAACCAACAGGCAGAAGGTGACACTGCGGTCTACAGCAACAGTCACTTTACGGCAATCCTCAGAGCCCCCAGCCCCTCAGGAATGAGGTTACAACAATCAGATGAATTTTCATTTGATTATATTTTTAGTCACTTGAATAGTAACAGATTTATCTCTACATAAAATTTATTTTGAGCTCAACACTGACTCATATTTACCCTTTTAAAAAAATGTACATGCTAGGGATACTCTTACCCACACCTGGGATGGAGGAGGTGAAATCAACTTGGGCCAAACCTTCACAGTGGAGAGGCTATGCTTTCAACACTAGGACAGTAAGAGCGTGAGCTCGAGGCAAGGAACTGCAGAGGACAACGGTTGGCCGGAGACCCTGATGATCATGACACAAGAGGACAATGATGGCTGACCAGGGACCCTGATGACCACAACACAACAGAAGACAATGATGGCTGACCAGGGACCCTGATGACCACAATACAACAAGAGGACGACAATGGCTGGCCAGGGACCCTAATGATCATGACACAACAGAGGACGATGATGGCTGGCCAGGGACCCTGATGACCACGTAACAGGAAGAAGTGTAGGGACTTCAGCCTTTGTTCCTTACAGGTATCACTCATTGAGTGCTTGCCCAGAGTTTTGTAACTGTTAGATATGTTAGGGGAAATACTTATAAAAAAGAAACTAAAACATTAATGTTCACAAACCATTCACTTTTCAGGTGACAAGGGCCTCTGATGACAGCTATCTAGCTTTATCAAAACATTTTAAAAGTCTCTGGAGAAAGTAACTGTAGCTAAAAATAAACTCCGTCATCCTGTGACAGGCCCACCCTGGGCCCCAGGCATGCTGGGACACATCAGTTCTTTCCTTTTCTCTCCCATCCACCCCAGCAGTTTTTGTTCCTGAGCCATCAATTATTCATATTTTTGGATTATATTCATTAGCACACAAAGACAGACCTGATGGCATTTACCAAGACAACTGTGTAGAAGTTTCCAGACAGCACAGTGGTAATGAGGCAGGGGTCACAAGTTTAAGCTCTGCTCATACTTGAAAGAAGAAACGTGTTCCTCGCCACTAGCTGCTGCCCTGGCCCCACGCTACAGACCCCCTGGCATGAGCCCTTGAACCAAAGGAAGACGGGGAGACTAAAGACCAAAGGAGAGGAAGTGAATCAATGAAAGCATCTCACCTCTCAGACGAGAGCACGAATATGATCTCATTCCGGGATTTTGACACGTGTGGCCCTCACAGGGAACTGTCAAGATATTTTTCATAGAAATAACAGCTGGGGTTCTCAGCACTATCACTTACCAGCTGTGTAGTCAAGAGCATGGACAGAATTAAAGTCTTTAAGCTCTAGATCCCTTAACTGTAAATTAGGACTAAGCCTATTTATTAAGGCTTTAAGGATTAAATAAAGCATCTATTTTTAGAACAATCAACCATCAGAAATCAAAAGGGCAGCACTGGCCCAGAAACAAAGTTCAGAAGGTAGAAAGGGATAGGAAAGAAGGATGAATGGAAATGGGAAATATAAGGAGGAATTAGGATGAGCATTGTTACCCTGGAGGGATCACAATCAATATAGTGTGTTACAAAATGTTTATGAATTATTGAAAGGAATACTGATTAGTATTAGTAATCCTTCACCCAAATCCTAGTAAAAAAGCTAAAACAAAGTACCATTCACCAAAGGCCTTTATCAACTGTAAAATACCAAACAAATGTAAAATATTAGATTCAATTAGATCAACACTCCTGACGTCAAACTCTTATCCTGTTCCATCTTTTTCCACATTCAACAAGAACTTGGTAATTGCTGTCTACTTTCCTCTGAGATATGACTGAAAATTAAGTTCTACATTCAGCTTCTGTCTCCTGTTATGTTGTACAGACAATGTTTTCTTACCTCAACATTATCTCCAGGCACGCAAATCCCTAATGGAACATTACGACTTACAACCTGTATCTATATAACCAAAGAACTTAAATCCTCCTGCTTCCCTTCTGTTTCTTCTGATTCTTATTTATACTTTGGTTCATTTCCTGTGCTAGTCCTCTGTTTACCAAAAACTGCAGCTCCAGAAACCCACCGAAACACCTCACTCTCCATTCCCACCTCCCAGCTTCTCCCCATTCCCCTAAGCTTCACATCCTCCATACTATCATTTGCCTGACCCAAGAGCCACTAAGACCCCAGGAGCCCATGTGTGTGCCCCAGCCTTCAGTCACTCCCACCTCTGCTGGTAACTAGTCTAGAATATCACTCTTGCTGCTGGACCAAAACATACACTACGCCTGCTAGGTATGGCTGTCAGTCTTGTCCTCAGGGAAAAAGAGAGATGAAGAGAATAAAACACTGGGGGCTCAAGAGAAATCACTTTTTATAGTGGAGTAAAGAGAAATCTCTCTGAAAAAGCAATTCGCCATGGCCACTAACAATCAATTCAGGTCAAGAAACTGCCTGGAGCATTACAAACGTGGCTGCCTTTTCCTATGTAACTAACATCACCACCCTCGACCTAAACGGTATAACCCTGGTGCCTACTTCATTTTCATGACAGCAAAAGACAATAATCAGATAGCAGCTGCTGGAGGCGTGTACAGTCAAAAAGCTCAACGATGCTGTGACTTCCCATCAGCTTGACAGAGCTCTTCTGCCAAGCAGAGGTTTAAAGGAAATAACCTGGAGCTCAGAAAATTAAATTAACATTAAATCAACCTAATGGCCCTGGTGTCACAGTGGTTAAGCACCTGGCTGCTAAAGGCAAGGTTGGCGGTTCAAACCAACAGCTGGTCAGTAGTTCTACTCTGTCCTTAAAGGTCACTAAGCATGGGAATGGGATTGACTTAAGAACAATGGGTCTGATTTTGTTTTGCCTACCAACCTAATTAAGACGCTAATTCCAAGAGCTCTTTAGTGCTGCCTGCTAGTACGAGACCATAGGGAGGGGAGCCTAGGCAAGAGAAAGGACTAAGTCTGTTGGCTGACATGCCAGTTTTGTCAGCACAAAGGAAGCAGCTAGGTAAGTGGGAGCTGGGACATTAGAGAGCTTGGAAAAATAAGTAGGAAGATAATCAAAGGGCCAAGTGGAATGAGGGTAAGTGAAATGGAAACAGGTTTAGAACGGCTAGCTCCTCGCCCCTCTATTGTCAAAGAGAGCTAACTTTGTAGGACTGGGTAGAACTGCTTTGAAACCCTGAAGGGAATGCTAGAGTAGAATTTCCTTTTTTCTTTCTCTAGCATTATGGAGGGGCTGTGTTCAGAGAAATGAGACATAGAGTAGAAAATCATTTTGCTCTCCCACTTCATGAGAAAGGCCAGGGTCTGATAATTACAATCTCACACAAAGCTTATGCAGAGAACCAGAGAGAGAAAGTGGTCCCATCTGAAATCACAGATCTTAGGCTGGAACAGATCTTAAGAGCCTTTGGGCCATATTCCAACTCTGCAGCAGATTGTTGCTGTGTGCCATCGAGTCAGTCCTGACTCATAGCACCCTTACAGGACAGGGCAGAAATACCTCACAGGATTTCCAAGGCTGTATCTTTCTGAAAGACTGTCCTGTAGAAAGACTGGTGGCGTCAAACTGTGAACCTTCCAGTTAGTAGCTGGGCACGTTACCACCACGTCACTTAGGATCCTCTCAGCAAGCTAACATCACAAAATCAAATCCACTGCCACTGAGTTAATATAGCCTCATGGAGACCCTCCCTTGGGTTTCTGAGGCTCTAAATCCTTATGGGAACAAACTGCCTCATCTTCCTCCCAGGAGAGACTGGCAGGTTCAATTAGCCAACCTTTCAGCTGCCCAGCCAACACATAATCCACGGGCCTCGAAAGCCTGTATTTCAGAGATAAAGCATCTGGAGTTTACAGAGGGTATGCATTTGAGTGGTGCCACTGGAGTCATTACTGCTGATTCTAATCCCCCCTCCCCCAAAACCCAGTTAAGAGTCTAGCTTTGCAAAGCATTGATTTTAAACAAAAAGGACCCTGAAATGGCCACATTTCATTCAGCACGCAAACCACATTAACCAAGGTGCTCCCCACTCATACCAGAAAAAGCACCCAAATCTGGTAGTTTCACAGTTCTGATCTGGAAAATAAGCTGACTCCTTGGACTGCAAACTCACATATATGCTACCTCACCTGGAGAAGAAGGAAGGGCAAAGCTCTCTCAGGAAAGAAGCTTTATAGAAAGACACCCCAAACTCACACCTTTTCCAGTTCACCACAATGTCCTGAACATAAGCACCAGGGGAGAGGCAGCACATCTATTTCACTCAAAGTTACATGACTGATGCCTACTAGCACTGCTCCTGGCTGTATAATGAACCAAGAGTCCAGGCCCACCAGAAGCCACACTGCTGCTTATGTATGTAGAGGTGTGGTGCCCCTCCATTGCAGCAACTGCAGGCTTCACAGAGCCAGGAGCCACTGGGACTTTGGGCATAGGACTCTGGAGACAACTGCTGGCTAGGGCATTCCTGGGGCTTAGGAAGTACTGTGGGACATGAGTGTCATTCAAAGAAAATGTATCTTTATCATGGAGCAGAAATACTCTTAGCATTAAACAAAAGGCAATTTCTGCGCCACTGAAGCTTAAGCCTATTTAGCACCATGAATTCAGCCGCAGAATCTTATTCTCACCCCGCAGGAGTCCCGAGGATTTGTAAACATGCGATCAAACACAAAATCCATGTTAGCCATCTTCATTGCTGCCCTACAACAACAGAACAAAACAGGAAAGAGTGATTCTCAGTAGCCAACCTACACGGAACTCAGCTGAGGCTCAAATGAAAAGGAGGAGCGGGCATGTCAGGAGAAGTAAGGAAAATGTCTGCAAACCTGTTCAGGAAGAAGACTCCCCGGATCATCTCGTAGGGATTGGCCCGGGTCCGGGCTCGCCGCATCTCCTCCCCATCCAGGACATCAAACACACTCTGTTCAGAGAGAATCAAAGTCAAGTCAGCAACACTCCAATCCCTATAGGATAAGGGCCCGAGGAGCCCAATTCAGGCTCCAGGCTTTGTGTGAGGAGACAAGCGAGTGATTCAATCTCTAAACGACCTCACCTGTAAAATGGTGAAAGGTATGAGGTAAGCATGGGTCTAACAGCTTGTAAGTGGTTTATTAGCGGCACCTGGTGTCCCACACAGAGCTGCCTCAGTGCTGCAAATCCTCATAATAAACCTGTGTCGTCATTCTCTACCATCCAAGGGGACTAAGCTCTGACACCATGGCTCACCCACTGGGGTTCTCTCAGAGACAGGAAACAAGCCAAGATCAGAGTTTTCTGGCAGCAATTACCACAGTCACTGCCACATTGAAGGGAGCCTTCTGCCCTCAAGAAAGCCTTACTTCACCTAAGTGCCAGTCACCTTACCAAAATGTGAATGTCTGCCCTACCCAAAAAAGAATCTCTGTGAGGCTGACTGAGGCTTGCCTTCTTCTACTCATTTCCTCCTCAGATTTTTCCTCTACATTCTGCACTTGAAAGAAGAAGAGAGTAGGGGGCTGGAGAGGTCCATAATCAGATTAAGAAGTGTCAAGGAGACAATAGCAGCCTCCACTATTCTCAGAACTCACACTCGCTACTACATCACTAAATTCTCACAACAACCCTGCGAGGTGAGTATTTTTTCTGCATTTTACAGGTTAAAGAAACAAACTCAGAGAAGTTACAGCACAGGCCCAAGGTCAAGAAACAAGTTATTGAACTAGAATCTGGATCCAGATCTATCAGATGCTAAACATAATTCCAAACCTATGCTTCTTTCATTAGATTCTCACCACTGAACCAACTGGCAGCATCAAGATGGATGATAAAGAGATTGAGACTGCTCACAGCTTTAGTTTGCTTGGCTCCACAGTCAACACTCTTAGCACCAGTAGCCAGGAAATTAAAAGACATATTTCGATGGGAAAGTCTGCTGTTAGGGACCTCTCCCAAGTACTGAAGTGCAATGGTGTCTCTCTGGAGACTAAAGTGCGTCTGATACAGGCCATGGTCTTTGCAGTCACTTGTTAGGTGTCAGAGAGTTGGACAATGACTAGAGAGGACAGAAGGAGAATTGATGCCTTTGAGCTGTGGTGCTGGAGAAGAGGATTAAGGGTACCTTGGACTGCTAAGAGAACAGATTCATCCTGGAGAGGGTTAAACTGGACTGCTCCTTGGAGGCAAAAATTCTGAGGCTTCGTCTGACATACTTTAGACATGTTTTTAGGAGGGACCGGTCCTTGGAGAGGGACATCATGCTTGAGAGGGTAGAGGGACAGCATAGAGGGGAAGACCCTCTATGAGGTGTATTGATTCAGTGACTGGGATAATCGGGATGGGTGTATAGGAGACAGTGCGACTGGCACAGGACAGAGTTTAAGGCTGTTGTACACAGGGTCGCTATGAGTCACAGGCGACTTGACGGCACATAACAACAACATGCTTCTTTCATTACAGGCCTCACAGGATTATAGTGAACGAGCATACCGACGAGAAGTGAATCTTTTTCTGGCTACTAACCACAGAGATGGTTGTTGTTATGTGCTGTCGAGTCGCTTGTGACTCAGAGACACTGTGTACAAAAGCTCTGAACCCTGCTCTATCCTGTGCAAACCTCATTGTCTCTGACACACCCACCCAATGACCCATGATCCCAGTCACTGAGTCAATCTATCTTATCCAGGGTCCAACCCCACAAAGTAGGGCAATGACAAGGAAAAGGGACGTCTTGGAGAAAAGAAAAAGGTTCAGAGGTACCAGTTACACATTCTACCTCCTAGAAAAATATAACTAAACTTCAGGCCTCCCTACTAGCCATTCAAAGAGAGAACTGAAAAAGTCCAGCGAAACACCTCCTCCAGGTCCAGCCTTACCTTACACTGCAACACACCGTGAAGCAGTTCTTCGCCACAAAACTCTGTTTCATCTTCAATCATCATCTTTTTCTATAAGGAGAAGAAAACAGTTAATAACAATCACATGTGAGTGTACTGGGGTAGAAGTGTGAATGGAGAAATCAGGGTTCTGAGTGAGTAGAGCAAAAAGGGGATTGAGTCCCTGCCAAGCAACATCAATCCCTGAGGGGCAGAGAAGAGAAAACCTTAAATCCCCCTGGCTGTACTCCAGATGGCGGAGAGACGAAGTAGCCCCTGGGGAGCTCTGACTAGAGCGCCATATGGACACAAGACTCATGAATGCTGAGCCTGGGAAAACAAACAGGGAAGGGACATTCAAACTGTCCGTCCTTGGAGCGTGAAGGCAGAAGAATGGGGCCTGCCCCAAATGACATTTCCTGAGCCTGTCCTTCAACTGGGAAGCATCTCACTCTTTGCTGAGAACAAATGCACACCAGCAGACACTAACATCAAGTCAAACGCTAGGTGCAAGCGAGGCTTCCTCTAAACCAAAGGTCTTCAAACGTGGAGGTCTCAAGTTTTAGATTAAAAAAAAGTTTGGTTTAGGTGGTTAGTATCACTCAATAAAAAGTCTTCGAATCAAAACAGAACTTTTAAAAATATCAATTTCGCTTACTATAACAATATATTAACATAAATAACATACTTTTGATTAAGATAGTAAAAGAGTGGCAATGTTTTCTGAGGGGTTTTTTTTCCCTCAAATATCTTTAATGTTTGGCTAGATTCTCTTGTTTCTGCAATCAGTGGGCTGAATTCCAAATTGGTAACCTGTGGAAAATTCCACCATATATTTGTGAGAACTGGAGTTTAAAAAGGCAAAATACTTTTTGGAGGAAGTACAACTAGAGTCCACCTTAGAGGCAAGGATGGTGAAACTTTATCTTACATAGTTTGGGCATATTGTTAGCAGGGTCTATTCCCTGGAAAGGGACTAGAGGCTTAAAAACGTGGAAGGTCAACAAAAGACAGGAAGACTCTCAATGAAATGGCCTGACAGTGAGTGAAGCAATGGGCTTGAGTATGTCAGAGATGGTAAGGGTGGTCAGGATATGACACAGTTAAGATCTGCTGTTCACATGGTCACTATGAGTCATACTTAACTTGATGGCACCTAACAACATCAAACATGAAAATAGCATTGACCTTGCAGAGCTGTAAGGAGCCTGGGGAGCAAGAATTCACACTTGAAAACTATCCTCCAGATCATACTGATTTAGTTGCTATCTACTTCATTTTTTACAACTTTCCTGAAGGAGATGAAACAAATTCTCTCCATAGCAACTCCCTGATTACTTTCCCAGCACAGGGACACTGTCTTTTCATCTACCTGGAACAGTGCCTAGCAGTGGCCAGAATATACACAGAAGCATAATTAACTACTTCAGAAAACACTTATGAAGAAGACAGACATCATGTATTTTGTGTTGCCTTGAAATCTAAATAAACAGGGGGGGGAAAATGTGTCCCATGTCTCAAGGATTTATTTGTAAAGCCCTTGACACTCCCCCCTGACACAGCCTTATTTGCGCTAGAAAGGTCACACTATTTCTCTTAACTTGCAAGTATGCACACATACCAAATAAGAGAAGGACATGAGTACATGTTCATAAAATCCTACCTTTCCCACAACCATCCAATCACTCATTTCTTGGGTGTCAGGAATTTCAGTGGTACATTTTGGGAACCAGGACACCTGTTCACAGGCGCTGGGCTATAAACAAAAGACAAGACAGACATGTCAAGGCAGACTCTCAGGGATACACTCCTACTCACCAGTGTTTCCCCAAAGCAATCAGAAGGGATTCAATGGCAAAAGATCTTCCCTCTTCCAAAGTGTTGTTCACAAAGTAACTCAGAAACTAACAAATGGTGAATAAGAGTCCTCCTCATCATCCAAGCCCAAGCATACACTTGTATCTCTGATAGCTGCTTCCTCTTAATTGTTGCATTACTTTCTTATCAGGCTATCACAGTGGTTCTCAAGCCTAGCTATAGCTTAGGACCATCTGCAGTCCTTTTAAAAAGAACTGGATGCTTGGGTCCTAAACCCAGAGCATAGGATTCCCATCTTGACTGGGACAGGAACCGGGCATAAACACATATTTTAAAACACCCCAGATGATTCTAATGCACTGTGAGGGTTAAGAACCACTGGTCTAAGAGAAATGTGAATTATAAAACCTAAACAGGTGACTAACCTGCATGGCAGCTTCACACATAGACTCCCAAGCAAGTGTGGAGAAGAGATTCACCATTGCAAATTGAAGCAATGCGATTAAAGGGAATATGACATGCTCTGAAAGGCGTAAAATGGTATCACAAAGCAAGGTCTTGAGGGTAAGCCAACCACCATCAACAGAGAAAAAGTTTAAAATAAAAATTACTAAAACCTTTTGTTAGTGAGTTGGCAGTGAGTCACAGATTCTCCCTCTGGCCAAATCCATCACCTTTAAGCATAAATGGTTGTGAATTAAAAATTCTGGGAAAAAGTTCACATTCATTTTGTATGTCCCTCTCAAAAGAAAAAGAATTCACCTTGCCAGGGAAATCTGGACATTAAGGCTACCCACAAAGTAGACTTTGTCCAAAAAATCAAACCTTGCTCTAAACATCCCTGGGCCACAGCAGTCTCTAAGCATTTTCCCTGAGGTGGCTTTGGAAACTGGATATTCACTGCTGGCCATACAGACTCATCTATCCTAAAACAGCAGCTACCAAATGATATCCAGGCCAAAATCTTAATCAAAAGGTAGGACATCTTTTGTTAGAGAAAAATGAAACTACAGTAAGTGGTAGCTAAGAGTGCCTCAGCCCAAAAGAGGAATTTCAATGCTTTGTCTTCATTAAAAATAGAAGGTTTTATAGGCAAATTTCAGATTCCAAGTTTAATAAAATTAGTTGCAATTCTGCTCTTCCAAAAAAGGACTGGAATTCTTTACTTGTTCTTACACAAATGAGGTCATGGAAAAGCACCGTGTATTTCTGAAGAGAAAGCCTGCGTCTAGTAACCAACTACAAATATTTACCCGATCCTGCACTGTCTGGTCCATGACTCTGTTAGTCTCGTCTCCTCACAACTATAAGACAACACAGCCGGACCATCCCCAGAAACTATTAGCTCTGGGCTTGCCGGCACCTTACTCTGAAGCCTTATTAAGCTTTCATTATCTGCAGGTTCACTGGAGTTCTTTCTTGCACTTGAACACCAAAAAGATAATAAAACGTTCTTTTTTTTTTAAAGAGTTCAGAGTCACTTTTAAAGTTTGACTACAACAACTGTTTGGATAGTCAGACATTTGTATTCTGGTTTTTTTTGTGTGTGTGTGGTTTTTTTTTTTAAGTCTTGGCTCTACACCTACTTCAAATCTGTTGTAAAATAAGGTGGGTGATAAATAAATGAATAAAAGTAAACTCTCAACATTGTATGTGTGATGATAACAAAGGATAATGGGGTCCTTTTCTGGACTTCAAGAAGCCCTGGTGGCACGGTGGCAAGGGCCCACCTAACTAACTAAAAGGTTGGCAATCTGAACCCATCAGTCACCCTGCTGGAAAAAGATGTGGAAATCTTCTATAAGGATTTACAGCCTTGGAAACCCTGTGAAGCAGATATATTCTGTTTGTAGGTTCTATGAGTCAGAATTGACTTAATGGCAAAAAGAATGCTGGATTTTTGGTCTTTGGGGTGAAAACTGGTACTCAAAACAAATAAGGAAACTAACCCCACAGGGGAAAAACTACGTGGCATAAACACCTACTTAAAACCTGGATGTCATAAACCTGTGGAGGCCCTCAAATGACGCCTAATCCCTCTTCACATAATGGGAGCACATATCCTCTTTCAATTAACTTGAATTCTTTCAGTAAAGAGCCCTTACTACCTTGTGAGCTAGTCCACTAATGGAAAACTGTACTGATTTTTATTATGACTTGAGTGATCACTTATAGAGCACATGGTTTTTCCTTTCAAGAAACATGTTTTTGTATTAAAACATTAATTACAATACTCAAAATGTTTACACTCTCATTTCCTCCTTGTAATTCTCATTTCCTTAATCCCTCTAAGCTACTCCTTCCTGCCTTCTGGGCTTTTTCTTTGGACAAACGCTGTTCTTCTGACCTTATATGATTGGTTATTCTAGGGCCGAAGTGCCTCCTCAATGCTACTGTTCACACTATAGGCCTATCTGTCGTTTGAATTGTGGTGGCCTACTGGGAAGGAGTCGCACCTTCAATTCTGGGGCAAGCAGTTCAAATACGCCAGCTGCTTCTCAGAAAAAAGATAGGCAATTTCCTTTTGTGCAATTTACAGTTTCTGAAAACCTGCTAGAAAGGTCAGCTATGGATCAGTTCCAACCTTTGACTGAAAGTTGGACCATTGGGGTGAATTCTATCCCAGGTTCAAAGATGAAGAAGAGTCATTGTTTCTGAGGTTCACCAGTCTCTACTGGACAAGTGAGCCTGTTTTTTTATGTTTCTGAGCTTTGGTCCACATTTTCTCCTACTCTATCCAGAATCTCAGAGCTGTATTTATTTATGAAAGTTCTTTGTGGAGTCAAACTCCGCCTCCTAGCACACTTTCCACACTGGTCTTGGATTACCTTCTAAGGCAAGGGGAAACAAATCCATATTCTATCATTGCTTGACCAGTGTTATCTATTCGGGAGAAACTAGTTCCAATCCTCTCTCATCAACCTGGCCATATTGCCTCTGAGGTTTTCTAGTGGGTTAAAACTGAACCTTAAATCCATCACCCAAAACATATGAATTTTTTACTCCCCTCCTGCCACCAGTTACCTCGGGTTCATCTCTCCAGTCCACATTCAGCTCTTGGTCAAAGCCACGCAGTGTCAGACCCAAACCTCTTCGACCTTTCTGATTAGAGGCCTCAACAATGTCCTTGCGACCCTGGCTGTATTTCCCCAATCCTTCACCTTCCTTGAAGCCCATCTTGGCCTGGCAAAGAGAAATAATGCAGCAGAGTTAATTCTGTTCAAGGGACATTTATTTCACTTCTTTCATGTGCCAGACATTTTGCTAAACCCTGAAAAATATAAATGGGTAAAGTGTAAAAGGTGCCTTCCAGCCTAATGAAGAAAAGAAGCATAAATAAATTACTTTAGTATAACTATAGGCCCAGTGGCTATCTATTCTCGAGGTGAAACTGTGGGGCAATCAGAAGCTGGATAAATGAGAAAAGATCTCAAAGCTGTAATTAAAAGCATCAGGGTGCTTAATGAATCTCATTGGACATCTGCACAACTACCCTTCTAGCTAATTTGTCTGATGAAGTGAGAGGTAGATCTAAAGTATAGCGTTGATAAGGAGAATATATTTAACACTGAACTGCTTCAAAAGGCAACTTCTAAGTTACCCTTCAGTCAGTCAAACAACCTTAGTAGGCAAAGACAATAAAGGCTTGCAAAAGCCCACTTAATCAAGAGATTAAATGAAAACTTGCATGGAACACTACAGTATGATCCTGGGACAGAAATATGAAATGTCAAAACTGTTTATAAGCTTACACTAAACACTAAAGCCACTGAGCCTAGCTGCCTACCTCAAAAGCCAAAGATCCAAATCCCAAACCCACAGACTCTTGCCAAAATAAAATAACTCTGGCCCAAAGATTCAATTTCCCCTGGAGAGTTTGTATTCCCTTTGGAAGGGCATTACTAGCTCAGAGCCAGCTGGACTTTCTACAGTAGCCACAAATCTTTTACCCCAAATCAAAGAGGCTGAATGAGTAACAACTCTCCCTTATCTACCACTTCTCCCAAAGTTTGTGGCCCCCAATCTTGAAGCTTAACTGTACCTTCAAAGGTGGCAATTCTCATTCTTAAGTGAATACAAGAGAAAATGAAGGCATCAACTAAAATATTCTGATGACGGATGGAATGTTCCCTTGGATTACCCTAATGTTTGCACAGACCTTAAAATGTGAAGAAGTGGGCAGAAGTTCCTATTCACCTCCTTCTTGTGTTATATCAATAGAGCCTAAAAGTTGAGCAAAAGAAATGTGTCCTCCTTTTGGGAAAGGGAGACTGCCATTCTCATGTCTCTTAAGCACCTGGGCGTTAGTAATTTAGTCACCTGTGATTACTCACTATAGTAAAAACAGCTTGAAGCCTCTTGATTCATATGCACACATCCATGAGTAAGGAATAATGTTCATAGGAGCTCATAATAAATTAGTTACTAAGAGGTCCAAAAGGTGACCCAGCTCTGGACAGGGCAGAGGCAGGCTTGAGCCGCCATTCCCGTGGAGGATTCAAATGTGACAGACATTTTTATCAAGAAGATAGCTCTCTCTGTTAAATTCCAGGAAAGCTGAGGAAGAACTCATACCCATGCAACTTCTTTTCATACAAAAGCAAATTCCTATTCTGCTGGTGGAGCTTTAGGAACCAAACCCAAACAGAGACATACCATGAGCTTCTGGGAGACACTATTATACATGGAATAGCGAGAGGACGTTCCTTCCACAAGAGAGTCTGGTTTGAATGCATCATCAAAAGAGTCAGAGCTGTGCTGCTTCCCCTCAGTTTCGCTGTCTGAACCACTTAGGCTTGTGGTAGATACTGAAGGGAAAAAAAGATAAAATATTCAGTTGTTTTTTAAGATACAAAATAGCCTTCAGGATGCTTAAGTTTCATTATTCAAAATGTACCCACATATAAAATTTATTAAATGATATAGCATCAAATTTCTTCTCTTCCTATATGGTCTTGGGCAAGTCCTAGAGAGGTCTTGTACATGACACACAGTAGGGACTCAAATATATTCATTTTCCCCCCCATCCTCTCAGTTTCCTCCTCTATGAAACTAGAACAGTAATACCTGCTTCACCAAGTGATTTGATGATTAATTTGAACATACACTGTCAAGTATAAAGTACATTTCTTGAAAGTGTGATGTTGCTTCTGCTCTTGCTGTTTATTATTTGAACCTCAATTTCTACACATAGAAACTTATGTTCATTTTCAAATAATCTCTTCAACAGAATAACATTTTCTTTTTTTTTTCTATAATTATATTTTATTAATTTTCATAAACATTTACAGAGATTTTGGGCTTCCACTCATTCATTGTTGCACTATTCTCTCTACCCTCCTCCCAGTTTGTTCTTGTCCAAATGCCACAGTGCTTGTCAAAGCCAGTTCTGATTAATCTTCTTTGTCAGTGTATCCTTTGCCATTCCCTATCACTCCTCCCTGAGAGAGACTTCACCCTGAGTCATAAGGAAAAGGGGACGGCGTATTCTCTTAGCTACTTCCTGCTGAAAAGGGACGCTGTGGGTTTCAGGGTGAAGATCTTCTCTCACTACTCTAAAGGGCCCCTCTGGCAGTAGGAAACACATAGACTATTATGGAGATTGATTTTGGAATTCAGATGCACTCTTATTGATTAGAATAACATTTTCTAATTGTTTATCTCCTAATTCCTTTGTACAGTCTTTCAAATTCATAGGACCAAGGATTGAGTTTACCAAAAAGAAACTGGCCCATAGAAAGAGAAGTGGGGGTAGAACAAAGGGAAAGGGTGAAGAGAAGGAGACAGTAACAAGGGAGGGGAGGTGAAGTGAGAGAGGAAGGCAGAAAAGAGGAGTGAAGTTAAGGCAGCAACAAAAATTGAGGGAGAGGAAAGACAAGCTGCACCTAAAAGCTCTAGGAGAGAGCCTGAGTTAAGTCATCATCTTCACTCAACAAGCTTGCTGCCAAAAGGGCTAAAGAAAAGAAAACTCCATTTTACCAGCACTAGAGTGGTGAGCCATTTGTCCCCAAAATGGGATGACTTCACATCTGGACAGTGACTGTGCCTGGCTCTTTTCCTCTCCTATGTGCCCTAGTTCATAGGAATTTGTGCTGCTGACTCAAAGGCTGTGTACCTCCCTGGTGGTTCAAATTCACCAATGGCTCCTACAGACAATCTCCTCCCAAATTTAGTCTTAGAAACCCACTAGGAGAATTAGCTATAAGTCAGTTCCAAATCAATGGTAATGTGTGAGATGCAGGCAGATGAGTCTACAAACTTGAGAGCTGCTTTAACCCAATGCAATCTTTCTCCAGTAGACTCTCAGGTAAACCCATTCAAACTTGGAAATAGGCTGTAGCTCAATAACTTGGCTGTTAGTTAATTTCTGCATATACCCAACAGATTCTGTATAAATCACAAGCCAGAAGGACTGCAGAACAGAAATGTAAGTGGTGATATCTAATCTAACTCCAAAGTTCAGCAGACACAAACAATAATAACTATAGATACTAAAGGAAAAAGAGAGGGGAAGCACTTTTTCTTTCCATTTATGTATATCATTCTTTCAAATGTCTATTAATTATTTAGATAAAAATGCTTCATTTGAGAAAAATGCAACAATGGAACTTTGATTAAAATTAATTTAAAAAAATAAAAATAAATGCTTTGTTTGGACCTAATACTTAGTAAACTCAATGGTTAGGTATTTCTTTTGGCCTAGGGACACTACAGAAAATGTTACAGTGACACTAAGAGTGCTGAGGATCAAGAGAGCATTAAAACCTGCATACTATGAACTGAAGTGAGTAGAAGACGACCCGGACACACTATCCAGCGACTACTGTGTGAGCCTGACCACGTACACCAGCATGGTTACCCAAACTCGTTCTTAGGATCCAAACAAAACCCAAACTCACTGCCTTACAGCCAATTCTGACTCACAGTAACCCCACAGATCAGAGAACTGCACCACAGGGTTTCCACAGGTTTAAGCTTGAGGGAAGCTGACTGACACCTCATTCTCCCACAAACGACTAGTTGGTTCAAACCTCCAACTTTCAGTTAGCAACCAAGGGCTCTAAGTATTGTATTTTTATTGTCATTGCACTGAGAATTTTTGAAAAGAAATCAGACAGAGCCAATTCTCAATAGCACACAACAGTAACAACAGAGTCAATAAAAGTGATTATAATATACTCAGGGGCTGGGGTAGGGGACAAGGGAAAATGCAATTATTCTCTTTATGTCACTAGAATTTATACTAGATATCTTTATAATTTTTTATTTATGAACTATGCAAATATATTATCTATTGAAATTTTAAATATTTTTTTAAATTGAGTTAACAATGTGAGTCTTTTGTGGAGAGATGCGGAGTTAAAGTATGGATGACCTGAAGCAGTGAGGAAAGGCAGAGAGGGCATGAATGTAAAACAAGTCTGTATGTGTTACTCTTCAGGTATTTGCAAGTTGAAGATTACATCACAGTTCATTTACCTGCACTTTACCTTCTAATTCTCTATTAGAACACATTCTAAAAGCTAACATCCTTAAAGAAGTAATATTTCTCTAGGCCTATATGATTAATAAATCCCTTAAGGATCTCTATGCTTGATAGGTAAAAAGGAAAGGTAACAATTGGCTCACAGGTCTTTAAATTTACTACATAGAACATGCAATTAATGCTACATGCAAATATTACAAAATGTTCAGAATTCAAAAGTTTAAGAATGCAGTTGGAATTATCTATCCTCAAAGATAACCTGGCCCCTCTCAGATTATGATTTAGCCCCTCAAATTATGTATTTTTTTGCACATGGCATTCACCACAATAACAACACACACACATATGTATGTAACAAACACAGGAAACTAATGAGCAAAACCTATATAATATCGCAACACCATGACAGATGGAGAAGAGACAGACTTAACAATTTCAGCTTGCTCGGCTCCACAATCAACAGTCTTGGCACCAGCAGTCAGGAAATCAAAAGACAAATCATATTATGAAAGTTTGCTCTCAGGGTTCCAGAATGCTAAAAAGCAAAGCTGTAATTTTAGAGACTAAGGTGTGCCTGATTCAGGCCTTGGTCTTCCTAATTACTTGCTACACATCAGAGAGCTGGACAATGAATAAGGACGGCAGAAGAATAGATACCCTTGAGTTGTGGCGCTGGAAAAGAGTACTGAACATACTACCAAAAGAACTATTCCATCCCGGAAAGGGTGAAACCAAGGCGCTCTATGGAGGCAAGGATTTTGAAGCTCTGTCTCACTTTCTTTGGGCATGTTGCCAGGAGGGATCAATCCTTAGAGAAGGACATCATGCTTTGAAGGGTGGAGGGACAGCGCAGGAGAGGAAGACCCTGGGTGAGATGGATTGACACAGTAACTGAGGTAACAGGGGCAAGTGTGTCGGAGACAGTTGAGATAGGCTCAGGATAGGAAAGGATTCAGAGATACTGTGCATTGAGTCACTCTGAGTCACAGTAGACTCTACGGCACATAACAAGAACAATAAGCTGTAACAGGACATGTCAGGATTCAGAGCACTGATACTATTTCATAAATTAAACAAGCTTAGCTTAGGACCTATTCTATAAAAGGTCCATGATGTGTACAATCAGATGCTAACTAGCCTCAAGGAGCCTAAAATTCTAGCAGGCAAAGGCACTTTTTCTTAAAAAAAAAGGATATAAAAAGAAGAAAAAGTCAATATATGTAAAAATATCTGCATAAACTTTATAGAAAAAGTCTGGCTCCTAACCTGTTACACACTGTATATGTTACCCACAACAACCCTCGATTGGACTGTCAAGGTTATAAACCAGAGGAAAGTGCCCATGCATCTCCTGCAGAGGGCCTGTTATTTCAGAAGCAGGTAGTCAGCCCTGATTTTTAGCCTGTCTTTGTCTGGAAGCTGTGCTAAAACTTGTCTACTCTGAGTGGCCCTGCTGGTATTTGAAAATACTGGTGACACAGCTTCCAGCATCACAGGAGCAGCTAAGCCACCACAATATGGCAAAATGACAGACAAGTAGTAATGTGTCCCTGCATGAGAGCCATCAAATCTGCCCTTTTCCCTTTAGGCAGTCACCCAATGCCTTTAATAAGGAACTGACTCTCATGAACCAATGCAGCATTCTAGTCAGAGTGCCACTCAGAAGGAGACACTAGAACACTAATAATGTGTAACCATGGAAACAGAGAAGGAAGGTGATATGTGTTTTATTTTAGTTTTGCACTTTTCTGCATTTTCTCTAGTTCCGGGGAGGGAAAATATATATTGGTTTGAAATTTAGGGGGGGAAAATAAAGTGCCATTCCAAGACTTAGAAAGAGTTTGGCTCTCTTCTAGACAAATCTTCAGAGTACAGCAGGTCTGAGGGGAAGGTCTCCTGAGCAGCTCAAGACTGTCTCTGGATCTACCTTCTATTATCTCCTATGCAAAAGAAAAGACAGGATCTGCAACAGAATGCCCACATGCTAAAGAAGATCATCTTCTAAAGGTGAAGATTCTCTTCACTCTTACCTGTACTACTTAAGTTGGAAAGAGAAGGTAGCAGGAGTGCAGGCAGCTCCCTGACCACAACTGTAATTATTTCCTTCTACACAGACCAGGAGTCAGGGCCCCTTGGATGTTAAATTTAATTTGTTCTTATTCCTTTCAAGAGAGTCTAAGCAAAGGTTACAAAAATCCAGTTTCCTTTTCATGAGAGAAGGTGCCTCAGCTCTTAGAGATTGTTTGTCAATTAGACTTGCTTAAAGACCCATCTAAGGGTACTGAAATGGTAGGATTATAATTCCTATGTAGGATTCCTGCCACCCATGGATGTGAGCGATTTTTTGTTTTGTCTGTATAACATTTTTGGCAAAAATGAAAGACAATCAAATCTGGGTAGAAGGCTCACTAAACAAATATCAGTGGTGACTTTGGTTCAACATCCTAGGGTTCTCAATACCTGGTACAAATATCTTTCCACTCCATTCCTCTCCTCAGGTATTATCTACTAGGTAGTCCTCCTTTCCAAGTTCAGATAGTGAGGGTGACTGGAGCTAAAATACCAGCCTGCTAGCCATTCATTCCCTTGTCAAAGCAAGAAGTGTGCTGGAGAAGCAGGGAACTCTTAGCCCTCCCTTTATTTCAGGTGGTATTCAAAACTAGTTCTTAGACTGACATCATTTAAGACGAGGTTCTCTGGATTAGTCCTGATGTCCCCAAATTGGCTAAGACACAATTTGTTCCTAGCCTTGGGCTCTTGGGGCTTCTCTTTTCGGATGAAATGGAGACAACTGTCATGGTTACAGCAGGCACTAAAGAGGAGGTTGAACCTTCCAAGACTGGGAAGAACATAGCAAATGTTGAGCAGACAATTTTATAATGAGAATATAAATTACTGGGAGTAATAAGGTCAGTCCATTAAAACCATTCGTTTCATTAAGAACTTGCCAAGCCTGGGTGGCAAATCCCATTTACCACCCCAGGAGATTCCCTTCTAAAATCTATGAGCAAGCTCAAAACATTATTTAGAGTTTTCATTTAAGGTTTCTTCTCTACCTGATAGAAATCATTATTCTTAAGTCGCTTTAAAGGAGAAAGGTTCGCTTTATAGAGGAAGCAAAGGTTTTCTAGCTGCTGGCAAAATTTTTCATACAGCGAGAGAACAGTAGGGTAAACGTGTCGAGATTAAAAATGACAGTCACAACACACAAGGAGGGGTAGCGCCAACCACTAACGGCCAAGGTGAGCAGCACACAGACAGAGAAGAATAAATTATGGATTTTAATAAACAGCATGTCCGGCCTCACAATCGCTGTAGAACACACTCATTTGTGCTCAAAGACTCAATTCCTCCTGCATGCCAGACAAATAGCAACTCGTTAGAGCAATTTAAACAGATACCGATAAAGGAAGTTTTTGATTAAGGTCATGAATCTGGCTGACAGGAAAGCGATGGTGTTTCAGGGCAAATAGCCTATTTAGGCAAGAATTAAATCTGGTGGAGAGAAAGGCAATTTTCCGTGTGGGACTAGTGAAGTCGCCTGGCGATCTCTAAAGCAACTCGCTGCAGATGAGTCAAGAGTCCACACTGACTCCAACACTGAGGAAAACAAAGATCCCTTGGGTGTAGACCCAGCGTACCTGTGAGACACTACTGAAAAGCACAAAATTACCTCATCCAGCGATCCTTACTTCAAAGGGCTACTATCAGGCAGCAAATTTCAAAGAGTTTACCAAACTCTGGAAATGCCTTCAAATGCTTCTTAAAAGCTCAAAAGGACACATGATGCAACCCTGGCCATGACCCACATCCCTCTTCACCATTACTCTAGCCAGGCGTCGAACAACACCTTGCGAATAATATAAAACAAACCAGTTGAACAAAGTGGATCTACTATGAATGAATCATTACACTGCTCAAGCACAAAAGCAAAACTAAGGCCTATCCAGGCAGAAATTGTAACTATTGTTTTGTCTTTTCTAAACTTTCAATCATCTGTTTGAACTGTATGCCCAGGCAGAAGTGGCCCGAGCAAAAGGACACACACCTGCCCTGACATAAAGACTGGAATAAGAAAGCAGTGATACATCACAAGGGACATGCAGCTTCTGGGCAAACAGGAAACTACTAGGGCATGCTGACAAGAGGATGTGTAAGAGAAGCGAGTACAGAACACAAATGACAGAAATAATAAGTGCTTAATGACATGATCTTCTGTAGACTCAAGGCAGACGAGGCAAAATAAAAGCTGTGAAACATTTTACACTTCTTAAAAAGATACTACTGAAGCCTTCTATCAATTCTATTGAACACACATTTACTCAGCATTTTACTCCAAGTCAGGCATTTGGGGGAGGGAGCAGTCTTACTGATAAAGATACCAGACTTACCAGACTATAGCCCTCAGCGATCTCATGGCAGCACAGAGCTGCCCCTTCTAAGATAAGCTGACCAAAAGATATCTAGCAATGTTGCTTTGCCTTTGCCTCCTACACAGCATGTTCTGCCAAGTGAAGGACATCAACTGGCCCTCTGCTGGGCATACACAAGGGAGTGGTCACCTGTGGATTTCCATTCTGTGCACACAACACTAAGAATCAATCCTGATTGAGTCATAACGGTGATACTTCTGGAAACGTTAAAGCTATTTGGTAAAATTAAAGGAAGTTTGGGGAGAGGGAAGCAATCTCAATTCACAGTCACAATTTTAAAAGTCTAAAATATTTATAAGACTGGTACTCATGAAGATTCTTAACCTCATACACTTTACCTTTCTTCGCAAGAGTTGTCTGGTCCTTATCTCCAAGAGATGTTACCTGGAGAGCAAATAACCCCCAAGATTGACTTAGAGCCTGGTATCACCTGAACATTATTGATTCCCCTGACACACTCTTCTCTTCTCTCCTCCACGGGCTATCTTGTTAATTCCCCAGGGCCTTATCTAAGGAGACTCTCTTCCTTCACAAAGCTGCTCAAATCCCAGGGAACAAACAATATTCCCTTTTGGTCCTTAGTATCAAAGGTTCCAATATGCTTTTAAGTTGCCTTAGGAATGCCAACTACATGTATCTTTTCTCTCATCCTGAAATCCACCTTGGTAAGTTTAAAGGTACACATACTTCCATACACAAGAGGACAAGAGAGTCTCTTATTCAGTCTGGACCACAGTTTCATTAGCTGTAAGTTGTACTGGCTATTAAGCCTCTCCCCTCTAGACCAACTTCCCAGTAACAACTAATGAGGATCTGCTCTTCAATCACTGAACAGTTTTTTCTACCACCCTCAAAGAAGTCTCATACCACTCGGTCACTGATCTTTTGTCAAATCTCCAGTGATACAGTTTACCAAGGATTCAGCAAAGAATCCAAAATGCAAGACTGCTAGCACCTCAAGGTAAACGGAGTATCTTCAAACTGGTTGATATTTAAAGCAAGCTGCTAGACACATTACAGTCTCTCACTGGAAGCACACATGGAAATGGTGAATGTCCATAACACTACAAAACATGCAATGCGACAGGCTAGTTTCAATTAAATCAGTAAAGTCTTTTGAGCTTAACGCAAACCATAAACACAAGGATGCAAATATAGGTGGGCGTTTTCGGATCCCAAATGCTGCCAAATTTGAGAAAACAGAATGTAAAATCCTGAGGGAAAATAGGCCAGACAGCTGCATCAAAAAATCCCTTCCCTGTGAAAGAGCTCTGGGATCATTAATAGCTATTAAGAGCACAGAGCACTCAATGTTCATCACTACTTCCAACTGGCTTAGACAATAAAAGAGTGCCATCTACTGAAGGGCTAGTTACACAACTAAGGCACTTCTAGAAATTTCCCCTCTCCAGTGAAGAGCAGAAGGAAATAAGTCAATTGCCAATATATCTCTGAAGAATTTGTCTACCTTCCTCAAAGCTTCAAATAACCAGCTGACCAAGGGCCCCAGACCACATGGGGGAAGCATACCTTTTGCTGCATGATTAACAGAGGAGGGAGGTTCGTCATCAGATGTAGAGCTGAGGCTCAGGGCAAGCTCTGCAACTCTTTTCTTCTGCTTCTTGATGGGAGCAGTGCATTCTGGGTCAGATCTCCTCTTCATCTTGTTACTGCAACCATAAATCCAGACATTAAGCTGCCCTCAGTCACTGAGATCAGACAAGGGATTCCAAAGTATAAATCATCAATGGGATGGGATCTGGCAACTCCAAATATCTTCCCGTGCCAACACTTGAATAGCCTCTTCCCCAGAGTGAGGCTGAGGAAGGATGCTAGCCAAGCTCTGGCTTTCAAGTGAAGTAACAAATACTGTGTGATTTAGACAACTGCTGGGTTTTAAGAGGACTCAGAAAATAGAAAGGACATAGGCAGATACAGAGTAGGTAACATAGGCAGATAAAGGGGTTGGTAACCAGCCTTGGGGAAGAACTACAGGGACACAAAGCAAGCTTACAGCTTGAGCCACAGTTACCACAGGAAGAAATCTGTAAGGTCTAAAGTAGTCACTGATTCTCCTCAACCTCTTAAAAGTTTAAGTCCTATGTTTTACTTCTTTCCAGGTCAAAGATGGATGAAACAATCAACCCAATGAACAATCTCATCCTTTCTAAGGAGGTAGTCTTTTCACAAGGCACAATCAGGGAATGTCCTGAAATAGCAAGGAATGGGGCAAACAGCAAGACTAAGCTGGGCCAGATTTCACTCTAAAACAAAATCTTAAATCCTCCAAGGAAGGCCCACAATCTAAGCTAGAAGTCCGTTAGAATCCACCAACTGGCAAAAAGGCAACTCTGTGAGAGCTTGGAAGACAAATTCGATGTAGGCTATGCAGAGGGGGTGAGGGCAGGAGGGTTGCACGAAAAGGACAGGAGGTATTTGTGTGGAAGGCAGGAGATGCTAACACTTTTCTCCAGACCACATTACTGAGGCCTAGGCCTTTCAAACTAGCCAGCCCAACTCTCATTTTCTACTGAAACAGATCGAGGGTCGAGAAAGTATATTGCTAGCCAGTGCCCAACTCAAGTGCCCTACACATGCCTAGACGACTGTGCGCCGGCAGAAAACTAGTAGGTGGGAGGCAGGAAGCTTGGATCCCGCTGCTGCGTCCCCGGGGGACGGGGGAGTGCAGACCCTTTCCAGCAGTCTCTACCTGGGCCTCAGTTTTCGCAATGCAACCCCCATTCACAAGGGAAAAGAGGAGATGTGCTCCCTTCTCCCTGGGCCTTTTCACTTGAAGACAACGTGGGTGCATGTGTGAGCAGACACGTATGTCAGCGGTAGCTCCAGCTCCAGGGAGCTGGAGGAGTTGAGAGCCAGGGAGGAGGGGCGCGAGAAGAGACGACAGGCGGCGAGGGTAACCATCGCGGGTTGGGGGCCGAGGCGGCGGTGGAAGGGTAGAAGAGAGACGCTGAGCCCGCGCTCCCGCCCGCTTGCTTTCCCCGGGCCGCGCGTCAGCACTCACGCTAAGGGGAGAGAACGAGCTGCCAGGGAGCAGAAAAGGGGATCAGGCTGCCGCCGCTGCCGAGCCCGGCCTTGCAGCTGCCAGAGCAGCTGCCTCCTCCCACAGTTTCTTTTCCCTACAAACAAGCTTGGGTCCGTCCGTCAGCCGCGCTGTCGCGCTCCGGTCCCGCCCTGCAGGCCGCGCGGGATGATGACGTCACGAAGCAGCACCCTCCCTCCGCACCTCTGGGTCGTGGCCCCGGGAAAGGCCGTTAGCTTAATGTCTCGGAGGAAGACTCGCTGCGCCTGCGCGAAGGAGTGGCCCGCGAATGATTACAAAAGTCAAGTCAGTGCTGTTATTTCTCCTGGCTCCCAAGGATGAGGAACAAATGGGAAACATGAAGGACCAGGTTACCTCAGTTTCATCTTATTATGATCATTTCACAGAGTAAATTTAGAGAGTACACTATAAATTGGCTGAGGACAGTAACCAAGTCGTCCTGGTTCACTGAATAAAAAAGATGAAGGAATGCTGCGGATGGCATCTGTTACAATAACGACACAGATGGCTCCCTGTCGCATTCCCGTCTTCCAATTTTCAGATCAGTATGTCCAAAGTCATGCTATCGGGAGGGACCAGGCCCTGGAGAAGAACATTATGGCTGGAAGACAGTCACAGACACAGAGGAAGACTCTGCGAAATGGGTTGAAACAATAGCTGCAACAGTGTCTCAAGCCACAGAACTGAACAATGTGTCATATTGTTTGTGCATACAATGATTGTGAATTGGACTGACTGGAGACACATAACAACGTGCAGAGACTAAGGAGTCCTAGTTGTACAGTGGTTAATTACTTAGCTGATAAAAGGTTGAAAGTTCAAACTCACAAGATGCTCTTTTGGAGAAAGATGTGATAGCTTGCTTCTGTAAAAATTAACATCTTCAGGGGAGCTCTGGTGGCCTAGTGGCAAGAAGCTGCACTGCAATCCCAGAGACGCATGGTTCGAATCCACCAGATGCTCTGCTGGGAAAGGAGGGACAATCTCCTCCTGTAACAGTCAGATCTGATCTGACGGTACACAGACACACATACACAAAATAATAATAATAAAAAAAATAACATCTTCAAAACCCTAAAGGCAGTTCTATTATATCCTAAAGAGCCACTGTGAGTCAGAATTTACACTAACAACATGTTTATGTCCAAAGTCTACTTCAAACTCTACTTATTCAAGTTTTACTTTATCTTTTACCATTAATATGAATATCCTCACCATCTATGATATTGAGCCAGTGAGAAATCTTCCTCTCCCACACTCCCCAAATAATACAGTTAACAGTTCACTGACATCATCTCCTGTTTAGACCAGACGTGATTCTCAGTGATTTGGCAAATATGTAATCATCTTCCTTTTTGTGATCGGATATAGCCATCAAATTAGTTGAAAGAGGAGTTTTGGAGTGAGGGGGTGGCCTGCATCAAAGATACACTGAAATGCTAGTAAAACTCCTCTCTCTTGATCCTACATCTGACTAGTCATTCTCTAATCTCTGATTCTTAGGATGTCAGACAGAGTTTGCTGTCTGGCCCATTGATTTGGGTTTCAATCCCTGCAACCACTTAAGTCAGGAAAAGCCTCTAGTCTGGCACCTGACCCACAGATTTAGGGCTTACCAGTCTCTACAACCACATGAGCCTTTTCCTTGAAATACGTATCTACCAATATATATCTGTAAGGTTGCTGAGGAAGTACAGAATCCAGTGCAGGCCAAGAAGGACAGTTTATTGAGGAGAAACTGCCAGGCTGGCTCTCATGCAAAAGACCAGCCCCCACTAGAAGTTAGAGGGGGATTTTATATTTTCTTACAAGGAACTTGGGGAAGGAGATGCTTACAAATTCAAGAAAGGGAAGTAGGCTGGGATCTCAGATAACTATTCCTAGGAAAAGGGGGTTAGGGTAGTTTCACAGAGAGAAAAAGCACAGCTGCTGTTTCCTGTGATTGGAGTCTCACAGAAGTCATTCTGGGAGAGGAAGGAAAGGGCTCTGCAGTCCTAATAATATCTATTTTGTTCCTCTATAGAACCAAGCTTAAATTGTCTTCGTACATAGGGTCGCTATGAGTCACAACTCGACGGCACATAACAACAACAACAATTTCCATTGCTACTACCCAGGTGTTCAGTCTCTAACCTGAATTTCTCCAGCAATCTCAAAATCATAGTACTTATCTCCAGGCTTAGTCTCCCTTACCCTTACTATGCATTCTTGCACAGCTAAACTGATCCTTTTAAAAAATGAAATCTCACCCTATATCAACCCTGATTAAAATCAATCAATAGATCCTCACTGTTCCCATGATGAAGCTAAAGGCAGTGGGAATGGACAGGAAAACATGATTTGAGACAGTAAGGAAGTAAACGCAGTGAAGGATAGATTGGAAGGTCTGGGGGTGGGTAAGACATCTTAAGGTTTCTGGCTTGCCTTAAATGGTACTGTTTTTATAATTCATTCTGCTAAGATTAGTAGCAGATGACTTATAAAAAATATGAAATCAAAGTTGTCCCAATTACTTGACTTGCTGTATAAATCTATAATATCCAGCATCAACAAATGGGTTCAGGATAGGGCAGGGTTCAGAGCTGTTGTACATAGGGTCGCTATGAGTCACAGGTGATTCAATGGCACATAACTACAACAACAATAACATCAATAATCTCGTCGTCAATTGACAATCACAGCTAGTAAACTTGCATTCTTTCTCTAAACAATATATCATCATTATAACATACACTACTCGCTTTTACATAGTCTTCACAATTACTCGCTATGCATCAGAGAGTTAGACAATGACTAAGGTTGACAGAAAGAAAATTGACTGAGCTTTGAGCTGTGGGGCTGGAGAAGAATGTTCTCCTGCCAGGAGAACAGTTTCGTCCTGGAGAGGGTGAAACCAGACTGCTCCTTGGAGGCAAGGATTCTGAGTCTTCATCTGACACACTTTGGGCAGGTTGCAAGGAGGGACCAGTCCTTGGAGAGGGACATCATGCCTCGAAGGGTGGAGGGACAGAGAAAGTCAGAAAGACTATGAATGAGAGAGATTGATTCAGTAACTAGGATAAGTGTGTCAGAGACAGTAAAGTTGGCACACGATAGAGCTGGTTTCAGAGCTGTTGTACATAGGGTCGCTATGAATTACAAGCAACTTGATGGTACATAACAACAACAACAACTCACTTTTACAGTGTATCTTAACATTACAAGATGGAAGAAACTTTATCTATTAAATACATCCAAGTAAACACAATAAAATGTAACACATTTCATCTTGATACCGTTAAGTATGACTTGGCCTCCCTTTTCTGGTCTCTGATGTTTACCTGGAAAAATTTATTCCCTTGCTTTTGTAAGCTTTCCCTTGCTTCACAACCATTGAGTAATTCCTTTATCCTCAGCTATTATTTCTCCTTCCAACCATTTATTTTTGCCCAAGCTTTTCCACCTTGGGAAAGGGCATCAGGATCAGCTACTGTGCCAGTCCAAATCACAGGTAGCAAGAGTAATCTGGCTTCCCCTTTAGTCCATTGTCATTCACGCTGGGTAGGCTTACATACATAAACCAACAGTGGGCTGCCTCAGCAACTGGGAAAGTGGGCTGCCTCAGCAACTGGGAAAGACAGTAGTAGTCATTGTTAAACCGACTTTTGGAGAGCGACCCAGCGCCAGCGACGAGCGCCAGCGAGAGCGACCCAGCGCGAGAACGCCAGCGCCAGACGGGGTTCCACCGCAAGAGGGGCCGGGAAGAGACCCGGGAAGAACAACAGCCAGCCACCTACCGTGGAATTCCAGAGGACCAAAGACTGTGAGCCCCCAGAGGAATGAAGACTACCCGACACTGTGTGACCCCTCTGCAACCCACACCTGTGTGATCCTTAACACACAGGGTGCTGCTTCATAAACCCCCAGCAGCGCCCAAGCCCCACCCCCACATCTTGGTGATAGTGTCCAAGCCCTGCCTCCTTACCCTCTAATCCCTTGCTTTCCTCCCCTTCCCCCACCCCCCTTGCAGCTCCACAACCACACATCTCAAGCCCCACCACAGCCCTGTGACCTCAGGGCACCACCGCAGATCCAGCCATCACCTGGAGCTATCACCCGAGCAGTTGTGGAACTAACCTGGCAGAAGAAAGGCCTGTAGGAACTTATCTGTGTTTACTGGGGCTGATTATCTGGGAGAGCACCTAAGGGCGTGCCCACAGGTGGGGAAATTGGCGGAGCTCTCTTGGGTTCCCACCTAAAACAAGCCAGCCAGCTGGCTTCTGTGAATTCTGCAGACCAGCCAGAGGCTAGTGGGATGGTGGGAAGTTGACCTTGACTATTCGGATCCTGTCGGACCCAGGACCCTGCTGGAGCAGGGGCTGTTGTGTGAGGGCACCTGTGTAAGTGCCACCAGGCAGGGAACACTGAGAAAACCATTGGGTAGGAAACAGACAACAGGAATTTGAGTAAGGACCCTAGTCATGAGCACACTGAGACAGCAGAGGTTTGAGCAAGGTCCTCTATGTGAATGACCTGCCCTTGCGATCACCCAACCCTTTGCCTGCCTCACCCCAGTTAGCTCCAAACCAGTGCCTACACGACTGGGCAATCAACTTGCCTTTAAACAGGAGGACCTTGACCTGTTTTAGCAACAAGAGATTGACCTAGCAGGCGCTGAACTGACATTTTTCTGAAGTCATAAAGTCAGAGAAACGCACAAGTTTGGTAGCTGCCCATCTGATCTCAAGAGCA